CTTCTCCTTCTCACGCTTTTCCCCAATTCTCTGATGAGCGATGACCAGCAGCTCTACACTCTCCATCCTCAAATGCTTCATTGCGCCAATACACATCGGCAGCTGGGCAGTGCGTTGCCGGGATCCTAGGCGCTGCACTGGGAGTGGGAGGCGGCCCAGTGCTTCTCGTGGCGTCCATCTTCCCCTGCGACCCTGTTCTGGTTGCCGGGGTGGCGCTTGCCCTCTTGTGCGTCCCTCCACAGTTCGGCGCGCATTCGCACTGGCTGCGTCCGCACTGTGCTGCGGATGCGCGCTGAGAGCGGCCTTGTGGTGTCAGAGCGGGGCGTTTGCAGAGCAAGAGGGTACGTTTAGTGGCAAGGTAGCAAGTGAGGGGATAGGTACAATTAACAAGTGCCGTCGGGGCCGCCTCCACTCCTCCCACGGTCATTCGTTCTCCCCTCCTCCTCTCCGCGTCCTCATCACCGCCACCGGTGCCGCCTCCCTCTCCTTCTCCTCCCGCGGTGCCACTCCCCCGCGACCTCATCGCCACTTTCCGCTCCCCGTTCCTCTCCAAACCCCCCGCCCTCGCCGACGCCGCCACATGGGATGGGACTGCGACCCGGAATCATCCTTCCCCTCCATCGCGGAGGAGCACCACAGCCATATCAGTCGGTAGGTTGCTTGTGGGTTTGTTTTTTGCATCTGTCAAAGCCCTTGTTTGCTCAGATTTGCTATGCAAAGACTGTTGTGAGCTAGTATGTAACATGGTAGTCCTTAAAACCCTGGTGATCTCTGTCTGTGGCAGCTACTCTCCGGTTGCCGTCGAGCGCTGTTAAACAGTCTTTGCGTTGGTTTTGCCTTCGCTTTAATAAAAGTTGGGGCGGGGGGAAACCCCTTTCAGTTCAAAAAAAAGATTTGCTATGCAAATCCTGATCTAATGTTCCTTGCATGCATGCAGTGTCTCAGATCTGCTATGCGCACCTGGCTGCTGCTCAGGTGGCACCGTTCATGAAGTTTGACGAGATCTCTGAGACGCGGGGCGCACTGGAGGATAGGGCTCCTGTCAAATCCAAGGCAGTAGCTCACTTCGATCCAAAAATATGTTTGTCGGAGGGTAATTGTTTTCTGGTTCTTGTGTGAGCTCGAAATTGTTTTTTTCCTATTGCTTGTCTGATCTCGAAATTGTTTCAGGGAGTGCCTGGTTGACTTCTACATCAGTTCTGGAAAAAGAAAGCCAGATCAGATCATTATTTTCAGGTTAGGCATTCTTCAGTAGTCAGTACACTCTTGAGTCTTGAGAAACCCAATGGTTTTTTAGCACGATGTTGATCTCTCTATCTTTAATATAATATAGGGATGGTGTAAGCGAGAGACAGTTCAACCAGGTGCTAAACATTGGGTTGGATCAAATAATCGATGTGACTTTCATCAGTACTTCTGCATTTGTATGGTTCTTGGGTGAAAATAAAATCGGTCCCCAGCTTCCACTGCTCTTAGTTAAGCAAAATAGGCAAAAACCAGTGGCAGAAACAAATTCCCCCCCTCAATTGAACTGAACAAGTGACCTGTTTTGTATAAAAGAAAATGTTGCCCTCCACTAGATCCATTGATATCTAGAAAGTGCGGTCTGTCTACAGCCATGTGTATTGAATGATACCAGATACCTTTTTGAACTTATAACCAGCTTATTTTTTAAATGTAGTACATTAACTGATTTAGGTTGATCACAGTCTACCTACTTTCAGTTCAACAGAAAAGAAGTCTCTGTTTTTGTAAGAAATTTTCCATTTGATCAATTGTCATCTAGCAAGTACAGTGTTTGACAACACACTAGTGCAGAACCGGGCAATAGCACCGGTTCGTAAGGCCCTTTAGTGCCGGTTCCATAACCGGCACTAAAGTGTGGGCACTAAAGGCCCCCCCCCTTTAGTACCGGTTCAGCACGAACCGGTGGTAAAGGGCAACCACGTGGCACGAGCCAGCTCCGGGGGGCTGGAGCCCTTTAGTACCGGTTGGTAATACCGACCGGTACTATAAGGTTTGGGTTTTTTTTTAGTTTTATGATTTTTTTTTCATTTAATTTTGTGTTTCCATTTTAATTCTTTTTCGTTTGCTGGTATTTTTCGATACTACACATTGTACACGTTATGCACACACACACACACACACACACACACACACACACATATATATATATATATATATATATATATAAATAGAATTTCTAGTAGAACCAATCATGCATATATATATCATCAATGTCTCACAAACCACCATATTAATTAATTCACACATACACAAATGTATAGCTAGCTATATACAATTTCTCCTACATATGCATGTTGCCTTTGGAGCCAGTGGCATTAGCCTAATTGGTGCCTTTGGAGCACGATGACAATTGGAAGTGGTTTTCATGGGGACGGTAGCGGGTAATAGTATTCTCCCTTCGGATTTATGACCTGGTCGAGCAAAAATCCCGCTATTTCCTCTTGAAGTGCTTCTACGCGCTCCGTTTCTAGGAGCTTCTCCCGCACCTCTCTGAACTGTTAAGAAGGAGATCAATATGCATGTGTATTAGTTGTGTGACTAGATATCAATAATGGTGTAAAAATTATGAATAGTGTTCTGACAAGCGTACCCACTCCTGTCTTTGAGATCCACTCCTTTCGGGCGCCATCATGCAAATGTTCTCGCAAACGCAGAATGCACACAAATTAGTCCCCTGCGCCTGCTTCAGGGCCTTTACGAGAATGGAATTTGATAAGATAATAATTAATCAAGCATGCTAATTAAAGAGATGGCAGCTAGCTAGCTAGCTAGTACTACTTAATTACTTACCTTGGGTCAAAACCATTGAAGCTTTTTTTTCCATTCGCCATCCGTGACGCTGATGAACCTTGCCCAAGCCCTACCCGCCGACAAAGAAAATGAATAAAGGAGTTATTAAATAGTTTATATCATGAATGACGAACTAAATAGGCCGAGATAT